CGTGTTTTTTTTGTGTGTATAATAGTTGGATGAAGCAATGACATTCCTTCCATAAATCTCCTTAGTCCCTAAAAATCCCCGGAGTGTTTTGATGCCTGCTCGCAGACCGATAAAATGAACACATTCCTTCAATACCTATTGCAACTATAGAATGCAATAGGAAAATAGGGGGGAAATCCCCTTTTTGTCTTTGTTTGCCCAGCAAATAATTAAGTACGTGATGTGTGTGTCGCATCTCGTGCTGAGACGTTTTTAAGCACTTTTCAGCAAACATTTGCACAGCAATTAAATGTTTTGCATGCGTTCTGTTTGCGACAAGCAAATAGTATCACATGTCAATGGAGATCGGCTTTTGGATTTGGATTTGCCACAGCATTTTGTCAGCTTCTTTCGGAGTTGGAATGTGCGATGTCAACAGAAGGAAACAAATCAGGTGCTGGGCTTTCCTAAACCCAACCACCCTTTTCCCTTCTCATAATTTATGGCAATGCGATGGAAGGTAAGGGTCCAAGTCACCTAACTGAAATATTGGTCAACATTTTTCCCTGCTCGATTTGTTTATTATTTCCACCCAGAGTTCGGTTGGCAGGAGTCCAAAGTCCAGACTTCTTGAGAGCTCAAAAGTGAAATGGCAGCTGCCTACGAGGCATTACTCTACGAATGTTCGAATGTATATACATATATCCGTAATGCCCATAAATATGCCAAATCACTTCAGCCAATTCGCTGGTTGACCTGGTTCAGTTTCAGCTTCAGTTTCACCCGAGGGCATTGGCTAGATTATTGTTTTAATTACAGCTCATTCAACGAATCAACTGATTATGAAAAGTTTGTGCATTGGTTTTTTCCCGTTTTCACTGGCGATTGGGAAAAGGGATGGTAATAGGTCGGCCGCAGGCTAAACTAATATGCACTTGACCATCTGTTGAATTTTAATTAGTTTTTTTGTGCGACGATATCATATCATATCCTATCATTATCATTGGCGAGTTTTTTGCGATGCATTTTAATGACTTTTATGGATGTTTATACGTGCTTTGCTAATGTCAAACGCATTTCAAAAGGGAATTTTTTATTTAATTTAATATTATGCAAAAAGAAGTGAGCATTAGAGATAGGTTTTTATGAAATTTAAATTATTGTGTATTTGGTAGGTATTTTATTTAGATTCAAGTTTACTTTTGACTAATTTAATCTTCGATTATTTTTGTTATTTTATTAACATTTTCCAGATCTAATTTTAATGATTAATACTAAAGCTTGTCTATGTACCATGATTAATTGGAATGTGGGGCATCGCGGTCTTTGCTGGTTTTGGGTCAATTTGCTCAGCAAATGCCCAGCAGATGTTGTCGCACCCAAGTGCAGCCGAAGAAGACCCAAACCGTTTACCCTTTGACCCCAAAACTGAGGCCGCCTTTAGGACGGCCAGTGTGTAAACAACCCCATATTATGGCTGATTTAAATTAAAGCTCTGCCGGCGAACCAATAAGGGATCGATCCTATGCAATGAAAGGACCTGAACCTGAATATTATCTAGTGCTTATCGCTCACTCAACGTGCCCATCGCCCATTGATGCATAATACTGCTGCAAGGTTGCGAGATTGTGGGTTATTTGTCGTTAATATGCAAACAGTTAACTGCAGCCACTGCACATTAATGGCCGCGAGTGTGTGTGTGTGTTTATTGCCTGGCTTATCGTCCTGCATGTCCCCTCTATGCATACATGTCCCTGCATGTTCGTGGCCGGCTCAAATATGGCCGGGTTCAATCATAACCGGAAGCGGAAGTTAATTGTGCACATGTTTAATGCAACTGATGGTTGATGGTTTAAGCACTATCCTTCAGCTTACCCTTACCCCCCTTACAAATGAGAACAACAATTAGCGAGTGCAAATATTGTTGCTGCCCAAAGATTACAAAATCCAGGCCAAAAACCAACCAAAAATTTGTGTCCTCCTAAAAGTACGATGAAAATGGGGGAAGAAAAAAAAGAAGAATGTAATTTGTCGCTAACCAAGTGTGTACTAACCTCATTTTACTAAAAGCATTAAAAATAAAATGTAATCACATGCTTCATAAAAGTAATAACTACACACACACACACCAACACAGACTCAAACACGCACACAGAGATGCTCGTTTCTGTCTATGATAGAGCTTCCTGCACTTCAAAACGTGCCTGACTACGTGTCGCTATAAAAGTCCCCCCAGCAAGTGTGCGAAAGTGTGTGTTTTGGTTGTGTTCCACTCTCATGTCTGTCACTGCCAAGAAGCAAATACATACTGCGATTATGGGGAGATTGTTTACCAAAAAAAATCATAAATTTATAGCATCTTTAATGATTTATCATAAATGTTACTTAACCAACAAATTATCTAAAAGCCTAGTCGCATTTAATTAATGTTATGAAATAATCAAATAAACTGGCAATTGGCAACTCTAAGCACAATCTTATATCCTGAAATTTTACTTAAAGTACTAGGTGGCAACTCTAAAAATAACATTATATTCGAAAATTATGCTTTAGAAACTAAAGAACAATTACAAAGCAAAAAAAACTTGAAAATAATTATTTAAACTAGTTTTCTAGCTTTGATTTTATTTTTGGTGGTATTTGTGGTCTTAAATTTGAATTTCTTTAAAATTAGTACTCATAATATTCCCCGCATAAACGCAAAAATAAGACTGCCATTGCCGCCATTGTCTATGTCAAAGAACTCATGGCACTGGGATACTGCCATTGGCGTCTATATGCATTAATGTGCGTGAGCACATCTGATTTTTATGAGACGATTATGAGTTGCCTTTTATTATTTGCCATTGGGTCTGCCAAAGTGTTGCGGCAATGGCACACAAACATTTGCCATTGCAATTCCCTACCAATTGATGGGGGGCTTTCGAAGGGGGAAATGCTGGAGCATTAATTAGTGTCAACACATAAGCCTGACTTCGAGAAGGAAAAATACCTTGGATTGTGGAACAAAAACGTTTTCAGGTGGTGGCTCTAAGCCATTGCAGCTGCAGCTGCCGGCTTCTTTAAGCTTTCGTCGATGGGTGAAATGAAAATCCTAAATGACTTTACACTCTCTATCACAGGCTAAAGCTACGAAATGCACTCAGAAAAAAAGGGTAATCTAAAAATGTCTACTAATAATCCACCATAAGAAGTTATTAGTATTTTTTAATACATTTTTCTCTATTTTTTAAATAGTGCGCAATGTATCATAATCAAATCTATAAATTTGTTATTTAACTATTTCATATAAGAAATTCCTTATATTTTTAAACATTACAAATTTATAAAAATATCACGGAGATTTTAGTAAGAAAAGACCCTTATATTTATACCCGTTACTCGTAGAGTAAAAGGGTATATTAGATTCGTGCAAAAGTATGTAACAGGTAGAAGGAAGCGTTTCCGACCCTATAAACTATATATATTCTTGATCAGGATCACTAGCCGAGTCGATCTAGCCATGTCCGTCTGTCCGTCTGTCTGTCTGTATGAACGCTGAGATCTCGGAAACTATAAAAGCTAGAAGATTGACATTTTGCATGCAGATTCTAGGAGTTCCTACGCAGCGCAAGTTTGTTTCAAAAGGGTGCCACGCCCCCTCTAGCGCCCACAATCGCTAATATACGATTTTAAAAATGTCAATATTTCGGAAAAGTAAAAATGCAGTTTTATTGTGTTTATGAATACCTATCGAAATGTAGAAGAAATTTTTTAAATCGGACCATTCGTTAAAAAGTTACGGCGAATCAAAGTTTTTATCTTCATCTCCTCCCTTTAGCTGAGTAACGGGTATCTGATAGTCGGGGCACCCGACTATAGCGTTCTCTCTTGTTTTTTTTCGAGTGTGCACCTGCTGATAAACGCAGTGTCAATAAAAGAAAATCTTCAAGCCGGTTCAGAAATTTGCCTGATACCCAATGTGTCAGAGTGTCAGAGAGCTCGTTAGGATCCGTAGTCAATAGCGAAGGGCATTGTCATGTCGCATATGACAGCAAACAGTTGCAGTTTATTGGATCTTTCACATTTTCTGATGGACTCTGAAGGATTTTGCCTTCGAGGAATTTTAAACCAGGCAAAAATGAAAAATTCATCTTGATTAATGAAGTGCCCTACAAGTTTGAGATTTGCCGCCTGACCTGAGGCACGATTCTGTTCGACTCGACATCTAGACATCTCCACCCACAGCCACTCGGATTCAATTCGATTTATCATCAGCCTTTGGAGATTTTCATGGGACCATAGAACTCGGAGCCTACTCGTGCGAATATATGAAGAAAGTCGGTGTATTATGCATGCTCACTTGCCCACGAATCTGTGCGTGGCACAATTGCCTGAGTGGCAAACTTCAAGTAGGCACACATCCTTACGCTCTAAAATGTTTATTTCCTGTAAATACTTAACAGCACTGCCAAGTAAAAAGGATTTTAAAAATAATATATGGTTAAATGTGTAAAGCATTTCTAGAAGTTAATTAATTATGAGTTTTATTTATTTTCGAACGAATCATTATTCATTTTTGGAAATTAAAATTAGGGTAATAAACTGAACTACATTTTTGTAAAAAAATATATTTTTTGTAGAATTTGATGCAAATTTAAATTTATGTATTTATTTTTTGCATAGTTTCTTAAAAAATAAATAATTTTACAAGTGTACTCTACACACACGCTTGGACCCCTGACAGATTGGCCATGCGTGTGCAAACAAACCCAAAACACGAGCACAAGTATCCCAGGACCTCCCTGGGTCCTTAGTCCATGGCAAACGGTCAGTGGCCGAAGGCAAAAGTTTATAATAGAATTTTTAAGCATGAATAATTATGTGAAGAAGACTTTAGGCCAGCTGCTGTTGCTTGGATTGGCCGCTGTCCTTTTTTGATTATGCACGGGCAGACATCAAATTTGCTAATTAGGTTAATTGACTTTAATTTAATAAGCACGCGACTAGACTGCCCAACAATAATCGATGCCGGAGGGCATTTAAATGTGGGCACCGGGTGTCGAACTTTGTGCAAGTTTGCTGGAATTGCTGGCCCTGAGATTGATGCTAAATTGAATGCAGATCACTATGTAGCTGATCATTCCAAAGATGAACTATATGATTAAAAAAATATATATAAATTAATTTAATTTTTTAACTGAATATTTATATATTTCACCTCACCTTTCCCAGCATTTCTGTGGTGATTTCCACCAGTCCTCCTGCACTAAACTGACATTTCTCCTGACTGAGTTGCAGATTAAGTCTTCTCAGAGCTGCATTAAGTTGGCCATTTCGTCGATCTGTGGTGATTGTGTAGAACATCGATCGCAACTTTCGCTGCATTGCATCGCATCGTGTGCAGATATAGCAGGGCACTATAATTTCCAAGATTTTGATGCACTCGTCCAATTCGACATCTGTGGGAGAAAAATATATTTCTAAAGTTAGTTCTAACTTCAAACATTTAAGATATAATTTTTAATATTTTTTCATTTACTAACAGTGTTGTATGGACACATCTGTGTGCTGCACTTTACTGAGATACAGCCAGTAGGGCAGAGCCGAGGTATCCACAAAGAATTTCATGAGCAGTGTGATCAGGCTCAGCTGAAAGTAGCGCTCCAAACATCGAATCGATTGCCACAATGAACCGTGGATTCTTTGCAGCTTGGGCAACTTCTCCAGAGTCAAACGGCGAATGGTCCACAGTTCAAATCGGGTTTTCTCCAGCTCTTTAACCACATTCGAAGCTCCAAGGACGAGTTCCTGATAAAGGAACAAAATCACGGCACAGTACAAAGTGAACTCGGAGAAACGAGCCAGCAAAACCAATTCAGAATATAAAGCATAGTAGGTCAAAGCGCGATTATTATAGACAGTCATTAAGAAGAATATGAGCCACCTGATGATCAGGGACCCATAAATGGCATTGCAGTATCCCCTAATCCTATCCGTATTATTTGGTATGCCCAGTTGTACTTTCAACTGGCAATGGATCTCCTGCAACTGCCTATCCACATCCTGGCTGCAATTTGCCCACAACAATTCTATCACAATAATCACATGACTCGCAATGAGGGCCGTAAAGTTGGTCAGATCGATGGTGCTGGAAAAGTGATCGTTTAGGAAATCATAGTCGAAGTCATAGTCAAAGCTGAAGCGCCAGTAACTGGAACATCCCACTGTAATCAAGAGGACCACAGTGCAAAACACTTTCGCGTGGAGGTTCTGAAATATCGGTAGCATTCCCATGCATTTCATCACGCGACGCATGCGAAGCAACGAGGCAGCGTGTAGTTCTCCTGACATTTGTCCCATGACTAAAGTTTCCTTTAATTCACCTATCTATAGGTTTAATTTATCAATTGGCTAATTGCCATTATCGCAGTGTTGAAATCCAATGAATGTATTTGTTCTTACACCTCGAAAAAGGAGCTATGTGTTTTATTTTTATCTTTCGTTGAAACATTAAAACCTTAATTTTTTTAGTTTTAATAAAACCATTTAATTAATTTGATTAAATTTAAATTTATCTTATCTTAGAATTCTACTTACAAGGCTTATTATAATTATTCTTTATTTTTAACTATTTCAACATTAAAAACTAAAATATAAATAAATATTTATTTTTTGGGGTTTCAGTTTAATTTTTTTAGAAGCCATTTATTGTGCAGCCTTAGTGGTAAATATTATTTATTCTCCATTATGTCTACATTAAAAACCAAAATATATTCATATGTATGTCTTTTTATTTGGCTTTCATTTTAATTTTTTTAGAAGCCATTTATTATACACATTTTTCTAGACATATTTTTGCCAAATCCACATTACAATTTATGAAAAATATTTCAATTTCTCGTCCCCAACTGAGACTGCTGCCTGCTTGCTGATAAGATCCTTTTGTAATCACCCGAAATGACACATTTCCCATTCAAATTAGCATCAAAGTGATGCCGGAGCCAAGTGGAAGCAGATGCCCCAGTGCCCATAAGTGAAATGATTTGTTAATTTCATTTCGCCACCACTCATGCACACTCACACACTCATTCACTCACACTCACTCAGCTCTGGGGGGCGATGAAAATTGCTTATCAAAAATATGGGAAGGGGATGGGGGCACACATAAATTTGCATGCCTTTATTGCAACCACAACGAAGACTGGCAAACAAACGGGAAAAGCGGGAAAAGTGGGAAAAGGGGGCGTGGGGAAATGTACATACAAACACGCAAACGAAGCCAGTTTCCACAGAAGGCAGACACTTACATCCGCTTTACTGGTTTTTATGCAACCACCGTGGCACTTTGTTTGCACACTTGTAAAACACCTGCAGACCGAACGCCTTTGGCGGGAAATATCAGTATGTGTTTGTGTACGAAGTAATGACTTAATTGCCTTAAACCACCCCCCAAAAACCCACCCCTGCGATTGATCCAGCCGCGATTCTCCTCGCCTCTCTGCTCTCTGAAAGTGGGCTTCATAATTCTGCACAGGTGTCGAGGACGCTTTGTCTTTGATTGTTCGTCTGGAGTGACTCTAATCTCTGCCAGCCACACCATCGTCAGGAATTTGGCGGTATCGCATATGAGAAACACCATCTTGGGCCCTTGAAGGCCAGGACTCTCTGGTCTGGGTTCAATTGAAGCAATTGTGCGGCGTTGATTTGTATAATTTTGTAATTTGTATACCAAAATTGTGGCCACACATGTGCAATGAGTTGGGGTGAAGGCAAAACCATTTCGCCGTTCGGGGGTAAAAACGTGTATAAATAAATTAAAATGTATATGTGAACGGGAGTTGCTTAGCGGGGGGCAGTGCTAAAGTTTTAAGGTTATAAAGTGAAATAGTAAGATTAAATAAATTAAATATTATCACCTCTATCATTCTCCCATACAACAAATGTTAGTTCAATGTTTAAAATGTATTGACAAAAATTTCTACGTTTTTCCGTTTTTTTTGTGATAAATAGTAAATGATTGCTCCTTATAAATTTAATATTATATTCATTAATATTGAAATTAATTTCTATGGTAATATTGTCAACTACAATTTAGTTATTTTCTCTAATTATAAAATTGTTTGTATATATATATGTATATATATTTATTAAACATATTTATATTTATATTATTTTTAAATTATTTTCTAAGAGTTCCAGGTCCTTTAAATACCACTCGACCTCCCCAATCGGAATAATCTTTAGAGTAAAACCCCCAGCAGTTGCTAAATGTAATTATCGGAGCTCCTGCCGCTGGATGAGGCGTCTATACGGTTATGATATGCCATAGGCAGTGGCATTACTAAGTGCCCTGCACGTGGCCGCAAGGACTGCTGACTTTGAGTTTCCCGGAAATGTGGTGAGCGGTTTGAAGAAGTTGCTCTGGTTTAATATACGCAATTCTAATGCTGATTTCTGAACATCAGACACGCGCCTCTGGCACAGATGCTGGTGACGACTCTCCAACCCAAACCCAAACTCCAACTCATATGTGGCCTTCTCTAATGTAAGTCATTCCGTGTTATCTGATTTTAATTTGGCACAATTTCCCTTTTCGCACCTGTTGTGACCTGTGTGTAACGCTACCTTTTTCGTCAGCCCATTAAAAATATGCAAATATAAATATGCTAATTTGCTGAAAATTGATTTTGCAATTTAATTGAAAATTCCGTTGCTTGTTCTTGTTGCTGTAATTGTTGTTGCGGTGGTTCCGGAATGCCAGAATGCCGAATGGTGTGACTGTGACTCTACATGAGTCTTGTAGCTGCGGTTGTTCGAGCAGCTGCCACAAATTGCATAAATACGAAATACGAACAATGCTCGCAACATTTCCATCCTTCGCACATCATTTGCAACTTTTTGGGCTGCTAGGCTGCTTTTAATGGCATTAAAATTGCCAAAATTACAACACGCATCGCACTAAAAGAACAGAACAGAACCGGAAAGGAAAAAGAGAAACGAGGCTGCTGCTTCTGCTGTTGAAAATCAATAAGAACAAAGTTCAATTCAGTTTAGAGCCATCGGCAGGGAGTGGCTGACAAATGCTGCGCCTGATATATGGCCCCAGACTGGCTCAATAAATTCCATGTCGCTTTCTCTGTGTCCTGTGTCGACTTGCAAAAATGTCCCCCCTCAGGAAGTGTGATAAATGTGCGGCATTTGGCGAGCAATGCAAACATGGCACCTTAAACTACAATCAAAAATAATTGCATTTCTTACAACGCCATCATTATGAGAGATGGGTGGAGAAAAGAAAATGATTGGTCGTGGTGCCAGCGCTAAAAAGCTCGGAGAAGTCAAAAGTCCTGACAATCCTCGGCCAGACAATTGCAAAAAGTCAGCGAGATGGCAGCTAACATGGCCAGCTAAGTGATAACAACACACACAGTTGAGGTTAATATAATAAGTTAGGAAATATGGGTATAATGGTCAGTGGTATTAAAATCAGGTGTCTAAAAGTATGCTGTAATAAAATTGAGGTCCTGAAGCCCAAGGAAAACTATTATTTTTTCATTGCATACTTTTAGACATATTTATATGTGATTTTAAAGCTCCAATTTCATTTGTGTAAAATAAAACATTATACATTAAGTAAATTTTCCTCACTATTGTTTTACCCACAACAAATTATACAGTAATATATTTGAAGTCCAGAAGTTCAAGTAAATCTATTATTTGGCATTGCATACTTTTAGATATATTTATATAAGATTTCTAAGCTCCAACTTCATGCAAATTTCGATATTTTGAAATAAATAGTTATTAATAAATTATATTTGCAATTTAAACCTTAAATTTTCCTCACTATTTTTTCACCCCCAACTGTACGTGTGAGTTAGTTTGGCAACATCATTTATCTTGTCTTGGCAGCGAGTCGAAGTCGCCTGCAGTCTTCGGACTGGGAGCTCCAAATCGGACAGGACCTCGCACTGACCGAGACAACTAAAAATATATTTTCTCCATGGCTATAGCTATTTATTGCCGAATTCGCTTATTTTTCTCCTATTTCTTATTTCCCTCCCCCAATTCCCACGCAGACATGGGGAATGTTTGCCTCTATTTTTCACTATAATTGGCAAGGTTAAACGGGCGGGGGGATTTTGCGGAGGAGTTCATTGATATCAAACTGGAAACTCACTTGTTATTTGATCGCATATTTGCCTTCGGTCCAAAGGTCACTGGGACAATTATCAAAGTAACGGGGACTTGGTGGGGATTTGAAGCGTAATGACAGCTCTCTTTCTGTGTTTGCGTGTTTGCCTTTCGCTTTTGCGCTTTTTATTTCGCTGAATGGCTGGCTAGCTGGCAGACGGCGCAATTAGGCCAGCAAATGTGGCGAGCGAAAACCGAAATGGCGAAAAATGGCCAAAATGGATGTCCTGCCCCAGGCTCACAGCCAGATACAGACAGCACCCACACCCACACAAGGACATACACATCCTTTGGTCTCTTTCGGGGCAAACAATCGAAGATTTATTGTCCCTCGGCGCATTCTTTGGCACTGCGAATGTGCAAATTCGCGCTGAAATATATATTCCCAGCTGAAAGTTGTGTAGGCAGAAACATATAAGTGTGCTATACTTTCGCCACAAATCATAATCGATTCATTGACAAGTCGTCGCTCCATTTCTTCCCTTTCTTTCTGTTATTTATTCGGATTTTCTTAAAGAGTTTTGTTAATGGTTTAAGGGAATATTTATTTGCAAGCCAAATAGTAGCCTTAGAAAATTGCCACAGAAATGACTTGGGTTTTGAAATCACTTTTAAATAAAATAAATAAAATAAGTGTCTAAAAGTATGCAGTAAATAAATGATAGTAGTCTTACTCAATGAATTCAACGCACTTATGAGTTTTTAATATATTGTTGTATACTTTTAGACATTGATTATGTGGCTCCCTCAATAATTTAATTTTGTTCCATCTAATTTAAAGTTCATTATAAATTCGTACAAATGCCCAAAGTATCCTTATTTATATTTCCATAATTACTCAGCTTGTAGACTTTACTTGATTTGGTATTACAAGGCGGAGACAATTTACGCAGACGGGATTATTCGACTTAGGAATTGCCGGCTCAGTGTTTTCATCAATTCGGAGGCCAAGGACAAGTCGAGCCCCTAAGCCGATTCCATTTTTATTTCGTAGCTGTCGGTTTTACACATGGAGAGAGCTTTATGGCTGGCCACTGAATATTTACCAATGTGCATGAAATTAAGACTGAGATACTTTGAGACAACAAACAGCTCAGCTGACTGCCAAGGTGACGGCATTATATTTGGGGGTGCCCAGGAATTTTGCATGCACAGGTATTAGGAGTTGTAGGACTCCTCGCACAAGGACTCAAAATCCGATGAACACGAGTTTCTGCTCAGCTTTTGCTTTTGCCATACTACCATACATAGCTGCTTATTGCTGTTTACCATATTTGCGCTTATTTGTTTGTCGACTCTGGCAAATATTTGAATTTGAATTCAAACGTGCTTGACACATAATACTCCGCCCGAAGCCTCAGAGCCTCGTAGCCTTCGTAGCCTATTTCGCTGTGCAAATATTTTATGAATTTCAATGCGCCAACAGCATTGTGGGGGCGGGGATGGGGATTTTCGGATGCGGATGCGGAGGGGGCGTGGCAGCTCGGCAGGTGACACAAATGCGCCAGCGAATAAAAGGCAACAAAATGTGAAATTAGTTTGACACGTGTACCGTTGCAAAAAAGAGAAAATAAAATAAAGAATACGAGCCGAGGCTCAGACAGCTGCAGAGATTTTTGCGTTAAAATAATGTCGGTTTAGGGATTCAGTGCGTATAATGCAGAAATGCTGACAGGGAATTTCGTTCAAGGTTGTTATGGCTTTGCAATCGAAATCGAAACCAACCCTAATTGTCTATTTCTGTTTTTGCTTGCTGGAAATAATTAAATCATCTTTAAATACTTTAATGTTGCTGTTTTTCTTCCTGCTGAAATAATATCGGCTTTTCGCAATCAGTGAAATAATTTCATTAAATATTTTTCCATCTTAATTATCCGGCCACCTTTGTATTTCGATATTGTATGTAATCGAGTGCGAGACTGCCGTTATTTAACTTAAAGCTCTGCACACACATGTTTTCAAAGAAATGAAATATCTGTAAGAAAAGCTGAAAGCCACAGGAGTATCCCTTGCCATATATACAACGGCAGTCTGACAATCGCATCCGTACAAACACATTTCACCACAAATCTACTTAAAACGCAATTAAGTTGAATGCAAATACTGTTGGGAATTCGGTTCGCTGACGGGCCTGCAGGAGAGCGAAAGCGAAGACCTCCAGTTAAACAATGGCAGACAGAATAAAGATGCAGATGCATAAGCCCCTTCATTCCCCTCACCACTTGCCCGTTTCCATTTCCATTCCCATTGCCAAACTACCCTGCATATGCAGGCTAACGTAATTTTCACAATAAAATATTCCACGAAAGGAAAATAATAAAGAAGATGCTACCGCTCTTGATGGGACCGAAAGGAAAAACTATCAGAATAATCTGCGCGGTACATTCCTGAGAGGAGTTCAAATTTGTACACTAAGGAAAATAAGTAGGGGAGAGTGGGGGAATTTCGTCACAGGGGCAATTTCGTCACCTGCAATATCTCGGAATCCATAAGTCGTAAAAATATATAATTTTTTTGTTTTAGTCCTTCAAGACGGCCAGACACAACCAATGCATTTGTTTTGCACAGAAGGCCAAGATAATTAAGCTATAATATTAAATGTGTTTTAATAGTTCAAAAGCTACATTTAGTTCTCGACGAAATTTTTTCTGTATGCCACAATTCAAAAGGAATAAGATACACGATTTTTTATATAATACACAGTGCTATAATGTGCATTTCTGCGTCAGTGATTTTTAACTTCACGCCTAATTTTGCAAGAAAAATAATTATTTCTAAAAAAGTACGGTCTGGGGAAATTTCGCCACCCTACGCTAAGGGTAAATTCGCACCTATTTTAAATACATATTTTTATATTTGACGAGCTGGCTAACGAACAGACTACCAGCAGCAGCAACAAATATAGGACGTCAACAAAAATGGTACGCTTGATCAGTGTAGCATATTTTCAGGCGTTAAACTCCCTACATTTTTCAGGTGACGAAATTTCCCCAGTTGTGTGGTGATTTTACCCCCTGTGTGGTGAGATTGCCCCAGTATATTGGTTTTACATTTTATTTTTTTATAAATCACCAAGCTAATTAAAAAAATAGGGGAATGTCACATTTTAAAGCTTGGTGCTAACCGCATTCAACAATAAAAATAGAAATATGATAACGTGTCTCAAGATGGACAAAAAATAGCTTTGAAAAAATGCTGACGAAATTCCCCCACTCTCCCCTATTTAAAATCATTTTAATAATTGTAAAGAAAAAGAAAGTTTGAAATGATTTCTCCATAAATTTAGCAATCATTATATCTTTTTAAGAAAGTATTGATCTTTAAAAACATTAGTTTGCAATTGATCCGATACATATTTATATTCGATACCACTTGCACAGCAATTAAGCAAATATTTTAATTAATTTAAATAAAATGAACTATTTGAGCAAGAAAAAAAATTATTAATTTTACTCAACAAAAATCAAACCATATTTTTTCCAGCATAGACCTTATTTCTCTCCGTGTACGACTCACCTAGGACTGCAGCATATGGCAGCTGGCTGGGAGCCATATCTCCCACTTTTCGCCGCTGCTCGCTGATGACTTAAAAGTTAAATTTGTTTTTGAATAAACTTGAATCAACTTTTGGCCAAGGAGAAATGAAACAGGATGCAGACTGCCTGGTGGGCGAAAAGGGAAAAGCTGGCAACGAAGTGGGAGGTTCGCAGCTCAACACTTCAAGGTTGTTGGCAATTTGCAAAACATGGCCAGGTAATTGATACGAGTACAGCTGCCAGAAAATAAAACATAAGAAAAGAAGGCAGCCGAAGAAGAAGTCTCGCAAATTTGTGGAAATGCATATGGCAAATTGTTTTCAAGTGAGTGCGGGAAGTGCGTGAGCTCCTTGCAAATTAATTGTGCGTGCTGCCTGGCTGTTCTGCCTGTTTTGACTGTTTTGGCCTTGCCATGTCAAAGTTTTGGCTTTCAATTGCGAAAATTGCGCAGCACGCCTTTGTTGGGGCTCATTAGGCACTCGTGCCGCTGCCTTTGAGGCCCTACGAGTGCATTATGCCCTGAATCAGAATCAGGAGTTTATAAAGCCGTTCTGTACACACGCCAAGTGTTGTGGAGCCCAGCAGCTTCCAGTTTGGAGAGGTTGTAGGGCTCGGAGTTTTGGAGTCTGGATCTGAGGACCAAGACATAAACAAACGACCGACCAATGCAGCCTGCTTTTTCGAGCAGAAGCGAAAGGAATTTCCTTGCCATAAATTCACTAAAAGCTTTTGCAACGAGAATTTGTAGCTACCTTCCGCTGACAACATGGCTCACCTGTACAGGTGAGAGTGGGTTGTTCAGGTGGCTGTTCAGGTGGTGGAGCCACAGGATCTCGCAGCAGATCCCACTGCCTCCATGGGGTGCCTGGTGCCCAGTTCGTTGCAGTCAGACCATTTTTCTCGACTCGACTCAACTCACCTCACCTTGCCCTGCAGCCAAAGCGAAATTTACGCCTCCTACCTTCATTATTATTGCACTTTGCCACACTCGCACACACAGAAAATACCGTTGTTGTTTCTCAGCCATTTCGCCTGGCGGCTTTTGGCCACCGCAGACAATTTGGCAAACGTGCAAAAGAAGTTTCTAAATAAAAGTGCAAACTAAATGAGCATTTAGTGTGCTCGCGTCGTAAATTCCTGTTGAAATATTTCTGTCGTCTTACAATTTAGCGTTGCCAGCTAACTTGACTTCTGCAGTTAGCGAAGTTCAAACCGTTGAAGCTTTAATTTTATTGTAGGCTGTGTAATGTGGCCTTGTAATAAAAGGGGTAAAATAAAGGAATCTTAAAAATCTTATTTAACCACTGACCACTATAATCTCTCTAAAAACGAGCTAATACAATCTCTGCAGATTGACATTCTTTGCTAAATATATTGATGTAACTCCTTACAAATTATTGATTACATATTACAGAAATCATTTTATTTAAATTTCCGCTGAAAAACGACTTGACTCGTGTCGCCACTGAACTAGACTCTTATCTTGAAGCTTTAAAGCCCTTTATTGCCACACGGCGTATGCGTTATGCGAGTGCCATGAATACGTTTGCATTTTGCATTAATTATGTGCCAGAGTGTAGGGGCTTTGACAGTGTTAGCACTGCCTCCGCATCAGGCATCACTCAGCCTAGTAGGCACAATAAAATGGGGTAATGAGGCGCAGCTGGCATTGCTAAATACATAGGCACACAAATGCGGACCGACTCACACGAGTACACCTTTTTTATGTGTCTGTCAGTCGTTTGGCAGGATCTCTGGACCCCGAAAACTGGTCGCCTACTGCTTGCTGCCATACTGCCGTGCCATATAGCAAATGGGTATGCCTACATACCGCACCGTGGCGCATGACTTCATTAGTGTAATGAAAACAGAAACTGGCAGCAAAAATGTCAAGGTTGATGCCCCTTCCTTTTCGCATTTCAGCCGCCTTCTCTCTTTTCGGCGTGCAAATCGTCGCCAATCCGACGGCTGGTCCATTTTCGAAGGCTTAACTTAACGTAGTCCTGGGCAGCGGCAGCGGATGGCCGGGAAAAAGGTTAACACTTGCAAAATGGCTAGCAAGGACGTGCCCGAGTTTCGTTTTGAATAACAAATTTAATTAGAATTAATACATGCGGGCCTGAGCTAAAGCCCAGCAAGATCCAAATGGGCGTGGAGTGAAGAGTGGAGTGGATGGGCTCGGAGTCCCTTTGCCTGCCGGTAATTGGTAAATGCTGAGCCCAGCAATAAGGATAAAAATGTTATCAGCATATGCAATGCCAATGGGTCGCCTCATGAATAGTTGAATCTATAGAAATTCGGTAAAATAGAAGGTAAGCAAAGGAAAGACTAGTACTAAATAAAGCAAAAACTATAATTTAAAAAATAATTATTTGTCGTTTGAGTCAATATTTAAACTTACCGAAATACAGAAGAAAATTTGAAAATCGGAGCATCCATTAAAAAGTTATGAGCAAAAAATGAAATGTCTACTATAGCGTTCTATTTTGTTTAAATTATTATTATATATGTATTTCATTAAAGAATTATTACAGTTATGAACAATCTAAATTAAATTGTAAATTTGATAATAAAATATTTTAAAAATATTTAAGACCTCTTTTAGTCGGGAATTCACTCTTCAATAACCTTTCTTTTAGATAGCCTCCACTTTCAAATGAATTCCGCATTTCAGCCCGAGAAGAATTGTAGAATTCGGATCGTAGATGAGAGGATCTGCTGTTTGTTCGCATGTGGAGAACCTAAAGTTCTTGATGAGCAGAGCGAGTCCAGTGCGAGCTTGCATCTGTCCAAATCGCAGGCCAATACAGTTGCGAGGTCCTTCGCCAAAGGGCAGCCAAGCAACTGAAGGACGATTGGCCGATTCCTCGGGGGAGAATCGCTCAGGACGGAATTCATTGGGTTCGGGATAGATGCTGGGATCGTGGTGGATGGCCGATGAAGGAATGATGATCGACTGGCCGGCCTCGATCACAAATTTTGGATTACCGGGGACCACAAAGCGCTTGGCGGCCACTCGATCCACATTGGGTACTATGGTATAGTGGCGGAGAGTTTCTGTAATAAAATGTTAAAATTAGTTTGGCGTTCGAATATGGTATATATTAACTTCCCATTTATAACCTGGTTGAGGTACTTGAGATCCTTAATGCACTCGTAGGTAAACTTGTGATCATGTTGCTGCAAAACCTCCTCCACCTCGGCTCTTACTTTCTCCTGGATCTGCGGATTCTTGGCCAGCTCGTAGAGTGCAAATCCCATTGTCGACGATGAGGTATCGAACCCAGCAATAAAGAACACAAAAGCCTGGGCAACGACCTCCTCCATGGTCAAACCCTTGACCACCTCGCCGCTCTCGAGGGTCATTTCCTTTTGATTTTTCAAGGCAATTAGCATGTCCATGAAATCATTCCGCTTGATATTCTCCTTCTCCCGCAAACTCACAGTCTCTGTGACAATGCGGTGATAAAAGTCCTGCGTATGTTTAGCGTTCCGTTGGAAACCCAATCGCCTGGCCAAATTGGGATAGCTGCGCATGAAGCCCGTCAAGAGTTTGCCATGTCGATGGTCCAACAAAGCCCGTCGGCCAAAGTGCAAAAACTCGGCCTTCTCGTCGCGCAGACTGTTGCACTGGATGCCAAAGGCGCAGGTTCCGATGACATCCACCGTGAACCGGGCCACCAGATCCCTGACATCCAAAACTGAGTTCTGCGCGACCTTCTCATGCATCACAGCCATAAACTCCTCGGCCACCGAAAGAACAGTGGGATACATGAACTTCATTTTACCAGATGTAAAGGTCGAGGACAGTTTGCTCCTCAGCAAACGCCACTGTGGACCATCGAGATTAAAGAGATGCGCCGACATGGGATCATCTTTCTCGTTATAATAAATACCTTTATCAGAGAAATTCGAAAAATTCTTTATCAAAATTTGCTTGGCCAACTCGAGGTCGATAATGAAGGCGGCGGGCTTTTGGAAGAGGTAAAATCCCACAAAAGGAGCTTTGCTATTCCGATATTTGTTGTAGTAATCCTGGTAGATTTCATGAACGGTCCTGGTCTTCTTATAACCATCCATATTTCCCCTGATCGGGTGAGGTTTATCATAAGGAATCCCACGACGCTTGAAGAAAGTCAACTTTCGGTGGAGAGTGTAGGTCACGATCGCCAGCAAGGCGACCGCCACTTGAAAAAGATAGTATGTCAACGCCATACTGACGCTGATTGCAAAATACTAACTCGAGATCTGGCAAGGAAAGTGTATTTAAACAAAAACCGAAAGCTTATCTAATGGATTGTTTGCTGACAACTATAAAGATTCTAAAATCTTGAACTTTATAATTACTTTATCCATAAAAATTAATTGTTTTATGTAACGTCATTATGAGAACCATCTCTTTTTCAAAGCAAAACCTTATCTTCTGTTCGTATTTCGTAAGCAATTCTGCATTTATTAGAGTCCAATGACTAGAAACGGCTTATCAGTTCGCTTGGGGCACTAGACAAGCCCCATATAAGTAATCTCTGGGAACTGGGAACTTATATGCAAAATGTGATACTTTGGATATCAGGTGCTTTGAGTGTGACTGAAAAGAAAAATTTTATGGAACAAAAAATACCCAGTATTTATTTTTAACCTCTATCATAAAATTGTAGTATTATTAAACTTTATCAAAGTAAATAAATGTTTATGACCAACAAGCCTTTAAAGTTTGAACATTTTTGGTTTGATATATAAACTGCTTTAAAAAACTATATAAGAAACCATAAATTGATATAGCTAACATTATTTATTTTTATTACTATTAAAACAGTGTTAATTAGTCCAAAAATAATTTAAAATAAAATAAAGCAATTTAATAAATCGTTTTTTCTAACCACTTCCTTTGCCTGGAACATTTGTCACCGCCACGCCAACAAGACAAATACACAAGAATTTAAGTAAACATGTTAAAACCATAAAAATGCAAGTTTACCAAAGAAGCAGCTGAAAAAAGTTTGTCTTAGTGCAGCCAAAAGTCCAACAAAAAACCCTCGTTGCAGAAAAACAAAATCGGGTATAAAGCTATGGCTTCGGCATGTAAATGTTTGTGTGTGTTGGTGTGTCCCAGAGACTTTCTCATCCTTAGAAAGCTCACACACACAGAGGCAATATTTTTTGCCAACAATGGCGGGCGTTGGGCGGTGGGCGTGGCTGGAAATATGTGAAATCATGAATAAACTGCCATGTGCACAACATTCAACATTTTCCACCGCTGCAGCAGCAGCATTTCTTCTTTGCTTTTGCTCGCAGCATGCTTTTTTATTTCTTCTTGTGCTTTGTTAGCGCATTTCTCAGTAAGCAAAAGGAAAAGCAAAGGCGAAGGCAGTGCAAAACGCAGCGCCCCATTGTATGCAACAAATTCAGCGTAGAACTTGACTTTGCCTTTCCACTTTTCACTTTCCGCCGCCACTTTCCCTTTTCCCCCCACAGAGGGCGTGTCGCTCGCTCGACTGAGTGCCCAGCGGAGTCGTGAATATTAATCGATGGACAACATTTCGCTTTTTCACACTCACGCACGAGCTGCGCGTGTGACACATTAATATTTACTATGTTTATACGATAGCAATCACGATTTCTTGAAAGCGCGATATAGAAATTGCCCCTGTTTATACGACAGCCGAGAATTCATGCTTTTATTCACTCTCAGCTGATATGTATGCCGGACCGGTAAAAATATCTAATTTTTAATACCACTGATTAGAGAAATGGCCTATAAAAAGCCATCAATTTCTAGCGATCTGGCAACGTCGATCATTTTTTACAGAGTTACCAGATTGCATATCACCAAATCACGCTTTTGGGCTGAAATCATAGTCAACTTTCGTGTGTTGCCGAATTCACGAAATGGCGTTTATACAAGCACGAATCGGCCGAAAGCGTGAAATGATAGCGTGAATTCGGCATCGTATAAACACAGTAATTGACTACTGCCTTTCGAACAAAAGGACTTTTTGCTCTATTGCCAGAAAAATCCATTCTTTTGTTGCCCTACTCCTACTATATTTCCCATTCGATGCATGCAAACTTATTTACGCCTCGGCTGTCGGCGGCACATGCTGCCAATTCAGGCGAGCGAACCGCTCTTTGACAGCTTCACTTCACTTCCAGTTTGACGGTAAATCATCACCGTTTTGCGGAAAAGCACTCTACAATTACTTTGGTGGGGAAGGTCCTGGCAAAACGCAGCTTTGATATCCTGGAAATGTAACTCCACCTCCAGAAAACAAATGGAAATTTTTGTTATAGTACATTGTACTTGTCGGCTTGTTATTAGTTTTTTGATCAAAAATAATAAATAATAATAATAAATAAATAAAATATAAATAAAGTATTTGTGAGACGTAATCTTTGTTGTCTATATTTTATTCAATTTTTTTTTAATATTTCCCTCAATAAAAAATAATATAAAAATAATAAAAATCTTTACTTTAAATTTTGTCATATTTTTAATCAAAAGAATATTATGATTCCTTAAAAAGTAAGCTTCTAGTTCTAACTAGTTATCATATTTTTGATATTATAAGCCCTATTCATTTCTGGAATTCCACAATCAAAAGCTACAAACTTCCAAGTGATAAAATAAATATTTGGAATAATACTTTCAGTAGTAAGGAAAAACTATAAAAAGTTCGCCCTTGAACTTAGAAATATAACCCTTATAAACTTAAAGAAAATGCGTATTACAGCTCAGAATTTGGTTTTCGAGGGTAGCCTTTCCTACTTTTTTTTGCAGTCTTTGCCATTTTCCGCTCCTGACTTTTCTCTTTTGCTGCACTTTTTATAGCTTTTCTAGCTGCCGTTTTGGTCTTTCGGTCGTTTTTCGTTTTAGTTTTCCTTTTCCCTTTTCATTTCTCGCCACCTCGCAGCATTTTGTGCTCCAGCTGAGCTTTGGTGATGAAGGGTGCAGCTTAAAAATGAATCATTTGACTTTTTCTTATTAAATAATTTATAAGAATTAGTTGAGATTTGCATTTTTTTGCTGGCTGCGTAGTGTGGCCCTCCGGTTTCAGTATCTTTCACCCAACCCCCAGTAGTTGACTGTGCAAATTTCTATTTAATTCGAAATTTATTGCAAGCAATTTTCTTTTTGCTCGTATTTTTTTTATGCTTCTAGCCTTAAAGTGCTCGACTGGTTTTCTTTGGTTGCCTGGCGGGCAATTGAATTGCAGTTTTGTATCTTGAGCAGGCGACCGCAGTCGAGAGTTGTCGAAAAATTGCAGCTGGTTGTTTTGAGTTCAGGGTTAGCCAGCAGAGTTTTGCTTCATTAGCCATGCAGAGCGGAAATAACAATAATAAGAGTGAGAGTAGTAGCAGGAGCCGAAAACAAAATCCTTCTTAAATTGTATCCGAAATTGTTTTTATTCCCGGTTACCCGAGGGGCAGGCAAAACCAGAGAGAAATGCACGTTAATTTTCACTTCCATTTGCATTTGCATTTCGCTGACGAACTGTGGGCGGCTATATATATTTAGGGTATGGGGGCGTGGCCAGCTGTTTTCGGTGGCATCATTTATATTTGATGTGCCCGCTATTGTTGCATCTTAGGGCAGCTTAAGTTGCCATTAATGCCAGAGTGTTCTCCGTGAATTTCCGAATGCTCGATCCAAGGATCCGAGCCCTTTCCTTTTGGCACTTTGCCCCCGGGATGCTTTTAGTTTGCTAAGTGAGTTTTCCAGTGAGTTGAAGCGCAAGTTCTTAAATTATTGTTAACCCCCCTTCGCCTCAACAAAGGTCGGCTGCTCTTTAAGTCTTCGTCCAGTAATTAATTAACTTTGCTTGCTCAAGAAATTAAATACAAATAACTTTGATATTTGTTTGCCCAACTGGATTACACATCTCATTTTGCCCTAAATGTTGGTTAAAATTCCACTTTAACTCTGCCCATTGAACTTATCACACTAAGCCAAGTCATTTTGGCCAGGTCTACTCGATTGTTTGCCCAAATGTGCATATACATACGAGTATGTAAATCTATAGGCTGGCCTGTCAATTTCCTCGTCTCAAGTGTAATTGCTGTCTGAGCATAATTAATGTCTGTGTGTGGATATTTCATATTTTAATGATGGAAAAATATTTGAGCTCCCAACGAGTGGCATATAAATTAAGCCATTGAGTTACTGGCCCAGTTTATTATGCGTCCGGATTATTATTATCGAGTTCTTAGCAAAGCAATTTAGTTAAAATGCATTTTGTTTCATTTTGTGCCATTATTGCTTTCGAACTTTGAAATATACGACGTAAGGTGAATCGATGGGGCAATATTTGATAAATCTTTTGCACACACAGACAGAGAGCCCTGCTTATCCCTTGCTTACCCCCACTTAACAAACAAAAACCTGGAAAAAGCTGGACGTTAGTAGGAATCCCTGGCCCTTGGGTTCTGACCATATTGTTGCTGCACAAAAAAAAATTAATTATTACCTTATTTCATATCAATAAAAAGTCGATATGATTAATTTTAAATCTAGTATTTTTTGAAGAAATATTGTAAAATAAGATAAACGTGATCTTTGTTTATATCACAATGATATGAAAACCTGATCTTCAAAAATATACGAAATCTGATCTTTTATCCATTTTTTTCCGTGTGCCCTGGTGCTTATGGCTTGCTTTCTATTCATTTCATTTCGTTTCATTTCAATATGCATTTTATTTGCTGAAAATGTTTAATCGATTTTATGCAAATCATTTCCATTTCTTTGCCTTCTGCTGTGCGGCTGTTGTGTTGCACAGAAAGAGAGAGCTCCTGCAAACACTCGAAAACCATTACAAAACAATAATAATAAAAATCTTGGCCTGCTCCTGGCCGCAAATAAATTATTTCTGATGGAAGGCCAGCAAAGAAAAAAGAAGAAGAGGAGAGAGACAGGGACGGGGCATGCAAATGTATGCAAACAAAGAAAACTTCCTAATGGAATTTTCCACATGTCGGACATATGCATAAAACCTTCTAAACAAACCCGGTCCTCGGTCCTCCGAAGCTGTGGGCACTTTGCTGTGACCATTTTGTTTGAAAGCACTTCACACACGCACGTCAAAAACTGTGTCCAAAAATCGAAAAAAAAGAATCGAGATGGGAGGCAAAAAAAATTGCAAAGGATTTGGCTGTGCAAAAAGATGGCGTCAAGCTGTGCAATTTTGCCAGCGATTCGATTTGGTTTCGGCAATCCCTTTGGCAGTATCGTTTTGGATTTGGATTGTGGGCCAAAGGGCGGTTCAAGTGAGTGGCCCTTCACTCGCACATTCTGACCCCTTGACCCCGAAACCCCCTGCTAACCCCCTCCTAACCCCCAGTTATGTGTAAGTAATTTTCGTCGTTGTTGTTCTTGCTGCTGGTGTTGTGGGATATGCTGCATTGCGGTTTTGGTGCAACAAGCTAATGAGTTTGTGGTTGCCAGGACACCGAGCATAATTGCTTTTAATTGCAATCAGCAAATTATGCATACTTGTAGTTGTGGTCCCCCAACCAAACGCAACCCCAAACGTTTCTGAAAAATAGCCCCGAAAAATTGTAGAGCTCTTATGTAGAGCTGAAATTCCGCCAGTGGCTTATCTTGATGGTATTAATTAAATTCCTTAGGCCAGGTAATTTCGTTGAGTTCCAAGGGCAATCTAATAATGATTTCCATTGAAATTTGCATTTTTAATGTATCTATATTTATATTGATTAGCTTGTACGAAAACAAAGAATGTTTACATTTTGTATAATTATAGAAATATTTTAAATTTAATTATAATAATTATTTCTTCCTTTTCTTTTTTATTCAATATTTTTTGTGCACTACATTTATACATAAATATTCGTGAAATTGATGGTATACAATGTACTCATTATTTAAATTGTTTGTTATATTTTTATAAATATTTAAAATTTAATTATTTCTGTCTTTTCCTTTCAATACTTTCTTTGCTCACTTGCATTGCATACATTCTTCTTTTTATCTTGTCCTTTATTCGCGACATTCATTGCGATCTTATCGGGGACGACTTTAATTGAAATTCCGACAAATCAAATTAGCCAAAAGCAATTAGCTAATCAGGCTTTAAGTGCGGCGGCCTTTAAGCTGGAAAAAACACTCAAAATGTGACGGCCAGCGGCGGAATTGGCCAACTTTTGGGCAAGTTGAACAATTGAAACAATGGGCCCACCATAAAGTTTGCCACCAAACAGTTGGCCACGGAAACCCTTCACATCCCTTCTGTCAGTTCAGTTCGGTTCCGTTCAGCATTCCCCATTCGATTTAGCCTTGGAGCGCTTAGAGTTTGAGTAATGGAACTTCAAAAACGCAGCCGCCGCAAAACATGAAAACTAAAGCCGCTTTTGTGTGTGCGTGTGTGTGTGTGGGGAGCGTAGTGTAAGGGCAATTAAAGGGCACAAGCAAAACCACAATAGGATTATCAGTTTTATGCAACAGCCAATAAAGAGCAATGAAAGATCAAATGGGATTTTTTGTCCTGCTTTTTGTGCTGCCAAACAAAAGGGTTTGTTGGGTTAAAGGTAGTTTATGCTAGTTTTACTTGCTGCAAAAGTAAAATCCATCTTTAATATTAAAAGATAAATGTGGCTAGGATGGGAATCTGGATCAACTTAAGAGGAAAAGCAAAATAAAAGGAAAAAAAAAGTTTTTCGTTTTATAAGATTAAATTGAAACTTAAGTTGGTATAACACTAGTATCTTGAAACAAAACTCTAATTATAATAAAATTAAGATTATCACTTCAGTATCTCGAAAATAAAATTCTTATTATGATAAAATCAATCCTAAAATATAAAATTATTGTTAAGATTAAATGAAGATTAGAATCTTAGAAAATAAAATTCTTATCATGATAAAATCAAGATAAGAACTTTAGTATTTCAAAATTAATTTCTTTATTATGAAAAAACCAAGGTTCTGCCGGCCCTTACAATCGTGGCTCTAAATTGAAGAGAATTGAAATGACACTGAATATTTATTTTTCATCCACCGACTTGGCATTCGAATCGCGCCTTTCTTGGACTCATTAATCGTCTTTTGATTCGTTTTTTCGCTTACTTGTAACTGGCACTCATTCATCATATTCAGCGTCAATTATTGGGCCGCTGCATCTGCCAGAGATGCATCTATCTTCATTTCCATCAACGCATTACATCAGCTACAGCTGCCCCTTAGGATGCACCAAAAAAACACAAAAAAAGAGGGCGTGGCAGAGCCCAAAAAAGCCCTTAATAATCTGAAGCTTAATCTGCAGTAATTGATTTATCGCATGGCGCCTCAACTGCAGACAATTAAATTACGATGGGCCAAAAACAAAACAAAAACAGGAAAAAAAGCGAACGATGAATTTTATAATTTTTATTTGGCCTTTTGTTTGCTTTGGGGTCGCGGGCCAAATCAATTGCATTTGTATTATTGTTTTAATGCAGCAGCTAAAAATTTATGAAGGCAGGATAATGGTAGAACAAAGGTAAACAAAAAGTTATTCAAACATTTGCAGTGAAATCCGGAAAAGCCTCGAATAAAACTGAAACGAAATGAGTGTTAAAAAAATACGCGAAATCGATTTCATTTTGTTTCCTGATTTCTGCATGTTAATTGTGTTATTTTTTGTGAAAATATTTTGATTATGCCCGTCGATTGGTTTGTTTTTCCGCCAGGTTTTACAGCATTTGCGCCTGGCTTTGGTGTTGTTTAAACAGAAAAATGTTTTTCTTTCTTTGCGGCTTTCGCAAACTGACAGCCGCGGGGGCATTGACATTTGCATGTGTGACTGTAGTTTGTTTGCTCGCATTCGAAATGTGTGTGTTGTGTGGGGCAAACATAAACACACACCTTGACACGTCCACAAACCAAGTGCTTAGGTTATAAACGTTGACAAATAATTGAGCAAAATGCCAGCAATTCAACTAATTGGAAACGCTTAATGCGAAAGCGAATGCGAAACCAAAGCCCAGAACGGCAAAGGCTAATGAAATTATTTGTGGCAATTATATGGCACCCAAGGGTGTGTTTTTGAGCCATCCAAACGATACAGATACACAGACATATACACCCAAAAAAACTTGATATGAAACAATGGTCGATTTTACGTAATGTGGTATCAATTTTGACTTAATATGCTCGAAAACGTAAAAACGATATTTCGGTAATATCAATTTTACATTAAAAAGCATGGCGTCATATTTAGCATATTTGGGTCGCCATATTGCTTCTTGCTCTCTTTTTCGAATATCTCCTAGATATTATTTAATATACATTTTACTAGTATTTTATGGTAAAAACAATATGTGTGAAATACAAGAAATTTACCATGGGAATATCGATGTTTCCGTTTTTTTTTACTGTTTTTTTTGTGTGTATATGGGGTAGCTCTCTCCGGGTTCATTTATTTAATGATTTCTTTTCCAGGGCATCGTGGCAGCAGGTCATCATCTGGCCGGGCTTCAGATACTCCAGGGAGGGCACATACCGAGGACCTGCGATGATGATGTGCTGCATGTACTCATTGAAGACATCCAGATTCAGATACCGCCACTTGGGACACTCGTATCTATGGTGATGTCGAATGTTCGGATTGAAGACCCACTGGCGTTCCTGGGGCTTCTGCATCTGCAGTGGTTCCTTTAAAGGCGACGTGGGATCCAGAAAGTTGTGGGTTATCGAGAAGGAAAGGCCCAGATTGATCATCGACTGGATTTGCGGCATGTCCAACAGCTCCTGGAACTCCGCATCCGAGTGTTTGGTCTTCAGAACAGTGGTATACCAGGCGGGCATTAGATTAAAGCGTATCGCCTGCATAATGGTCACCGCAAACTCTTTGCGATTTTCCCAATCGTAGAATAGCCATCTCACACCACTCATAAACATCTCCATCTCGGAATTAACACACATATTTATGTGACCGAGCAGCTGGAAGACGTGCCTGGGTTCCAATGCCAGATATTCCTCCGTGGCCACGGCCATCAGAAAGTAGTTATGAATGCGGCCCAGCATCAGTTCCTGCAGAACAGCCGCCTTCAGGGGCAGACACTCGAGATACAATCGAAAGGCCTCGAAGCCATTAAGCAACTTCGGATTGTCCAATCGACTCCACAGATGGGCGTTTAGCTCTGGAATTTCAAGGAAACTGGCAGTCATATAGAGTTCCACAATGTGTTTTCGGGTTAGTTTGGCATTCGCATGGGTCATCCATTCGTAGGCCAGCTCAAAGCCCTTTGGCGTTACCATATCCGTAGTTAAAGTGACTGAATCCACCCGGTTAAATTGCTTGAAGTATTCGGTGCACACCTGCAACACAGGTAAATGGCACTTGAAGGACTGGTCGCCCACATGGATCACTACGTCTGTGCACTTTTTGTTCTCCAACAGATCCGTTATTCCCCGGACCATATACTCCTTGCTGCAGCCGAAAGTGAAGTGGAGATCTTGCCTGGACTCCATGAAGCCCATGTCCTCTAAACGGCATTCAGGCAGGGTTTCCCAGGATTTATTTTCCTGTTTTTTAATGCTTTTGGATATTTTTTCCCGTAGTTCTTTATCACTAAGGGTAATAAAGAATCAAAGAAAAGATCAAACTGCTAATATTTTTTAAAGATCAAGGTTTTCATATAAATTTGAAATGAATAAAGGTTAAATTTATTTTATTTTAAATTTGGTATTTTAAAATAATAAATCTACAGTTCTTATGAAATAACTGAAATGATAAAATATCAAAGTGATATGTTTAAATTTACCATTTATCATATCGAAAAAGGTAGAATTTAGGCCCATCTTACATATTACATTTTTTTGGAGTATTTTTTAAACAGGAAATCCAGAAAGTTTATTTTAGATTACTTACATTTTGCATAACTCCTGTTCATCTTCGTCGACCTCCAAGCTACTTGGCGGTTCCTCCAGAGAACTGCTAGTTTTCTCCTCCAAACTCATTGCTGCGATTTGAATTTTGTTTGTGGATATATGAGGGTAAAGAAAATAGATGTGTGTGCTAACAAAAAGCAAAGGGAAAACTCATGGCGCACTGATGTTTGGCACTCGATTTGCGGCATTAAAAGGATCATTTGCGGCTGGCAAAGGCCGCAAGTAGCAGACCACACTTAAACTACATTTAAGGATAGCTCCTCTGTAGCTTCCTCGGATTTGGGGATGCTAATACCTACAACCTGGGCAACTTTACGTTTTAAGTGGCCGGGGGGCTCAAGGGCTTAGCCCGGGGGCTTTTCGAGTGGGCCTGTTTATCTATGCCCATACAGTTTGGAGTGCTCTTGGTGCTCGGAACTCCCCCTTTCACCTTTCACCTCCTCGGCTCATATCGGTGTAGCTGCCGCAAATGCCAGTCATTACATGCAACGATTGTGAGCTGGCCAAGATTTTATGTTCCAACAACAAACAGACAAGGCCCAGACTGACAGGGCAGAGGGAGATTTCCCGACTAGGGATACAGATGGTATGGGGGCAACAGGAAAATTGAGCTTAAGTTGCAATTAAGCAATTGCCCGGTCACTCCACATGCCCCTGCTCCTTTTGGAGCCCCGGCTAATAGCAGCAAGCAAACTCAAGTGGCTGCTAACTTGGCTTTTGAATGGAACAGGACGACCATCGCCATCCCCCAGCTGCAAATCATGCAAAATCGCAATGAAATGCCAGCTGCCAGCTGCATGAGGTGAACTTTGCTTTGGGAATCCCCCTCCACTTTCTTTTCTATTTATGTGCAGTTGCTTTCCAATCACCAGCCAGCAAACTTAATACAATATTTAAGCCGCAAACGTAGCACAATGTAAACCAAAGTAATCTCGAACTCAGCTCCGGCTGTGCAGCAAGCAGCTCGGTTTGGTTTGGTTCGGCTCGGTTTGGCTTGGCTTTCCTGTGGCAAGTGGCACGACTTGCGGCCAACTGCGGCAGAGCACAGTCAAGACTCGAGAAGAGATGAAGGAAAAAAAAAAATAGGGAAAAAACAATTCCAGCATTGAGGCAACTTCGCGTTTTTTAAGTGGAAAACTTTGGCCCTTACATTTGGCCATGGGGCATGCTGGTTGCAGTGAAGCTTAAAGTGCGCCTCAGTGCCTCAAATGCAGTTCAAATGTGTCCGGCGAATTTGCAGGGGAATTGCGGTGACTGACTGACCTACAGAGGGAAAACTAGAAGTAATTCAATTCAATAAAAATATTAAACTGGAAAACATTAAAGAAATATTAATAAAATTTGCAAGTCTTTTTACTAATTTTTGTTAATTTAATTTAATTTAATAAAAATATATAACTAAAACACATACAAAAGAAATGATTAAAACTTTTAGTTCTTTTGTTTAATTGTTGTTAACTAAATTAAATTCAATTAAATAATACTTTAATACTTTTGATACTTTATTAAACTAGAAAACATTAAAAGAAATTTATCAAAATTGTAATGTAAAAAAATGCTTAATATTAATTAAATATATTGTTGTTTTACATTTAATTTGATAAACAATATATTGAAAATAAAAACAAATTTAAAATAAATTATATTTCAATTAATAGACTTTTAAGACAAAATTTCCAAAATTTAAGATCATTAAATTATCTTGAAATCGCCACTTATTTGCAAAACATTTTTCTTCAGTGTATAATTAGTCCTCCCACAAATCGATGGCAATGCAGCCGCTGTGCCAAGAAATCACTTCGATTGATTTTAAGCTTTAATGCGCTGTCTGCAGGACCATAAACTCGGGAGGATTGTCGGCTGATGCTGCCGTCCAATGAATTTCGAATTACCAATAAACAATTGAATGAGCAGCGAAAATATAAGCACGCACAGACACACCCAAACACACACAGACGCCCATAAGCCTCGCATACAAATGCTAATCAGCGATGCTTTATGATTTTCGGTATATTTGCGTTGCTCATACGCAGTGTGGGCCGCATCGCTAATCCCGGCACGCAGCATCAATAAGTCAAACACGTCAATGGCAAGCAGTGCGAAGAGTCCTGCGAGTCCTGTGAGTCCTGGCAGTAAAACAACAACAACAACCAGCAGAACAACGAGCAGAGACAAAAAGGCAACAATTTATTGTTGCTCAATGTCGCATTTATCATCACTTTATGCTACTTAATCGAGCCTTCGTCCCTCGTCGCCCCTCTGTGATCCTTTGAGCTCGATTTCCGCCACCGAAGATGATTTCAATGTTTACTCTCGTCTCTTTGTTTGCTTATTGTTTTTCGACATTCGACACACATCCGCGCACACAGCCGAGCGGCAGCACTTTGCAGCGTCTTTTTATGGTTTATGGCGCCATTGAATTTTTCGTTTGTTTTCTTATTAAATTATAATTTATATGTGTAGTCGCATCAGCCAGCCAAGGACAAGGCACTTTGTCAATTGTTTAATAGAAAACAAAGGAGATACGACGACTCCGTAAAATGGCTCCTGAGAACGAAACTTTTTGGGGGCCCAGGACACTTTGCTTTGTTATTTATACATGCGCACGGCGTACTCAATTACGACTTCGAATGGCAAACAACTTTTTCGGGGTTTTAGTGGGTGTATGTGAGTGAGTCTGGCTGTTTGTTTGTTTGCAGGTCAGAACGTGATGAAAAGTGCGATAGTAATATATTAAAGATGGCAGATTTCGCCTGGCTCCTGAAGCACTTACGATGGTGAAGAGATATCACTACCGAAAAAGGGCAATAGTCTGGGTCAGCTTTTATAAAAAGCAGAGGCACTGAGAAAAAAAAGGCAGTCATGAAAATGGCAAAAAAATATTGTTTCATACTTTTGAGCACCTTTAAAAGTTATTTCGATATCTGTGCCATCTACAATGTAAAATATATATATTTGACCACGTGCAGCAGCACTAAGAACAAACAACTGACACGAAAATAAAACAATTAATTTGAAAAAATATCGTTGCATATGTTTAAGCACCTTTAAAACTTATTTCGAATCTCTAGTGATTTCTGTGTATTTGACAAAGTGCACAAACTGAAACAGATATTGTTATATTATTTTTCATTTTCCCTGTACAAAGTCCACTGGCATTGTAAATAAATTTGTCGTGTGCGCAAAAAAGTGGCCGCCTGCATAAAGCCAACGGTGTGGTCGAAAATTTCTAAAAAGCATTCACAGCTAATCCACTTGAATAATGCAGCTGCAATAAAAGGCCAACGCTTCCCTCGTCGGTATCGGAAATATTTCCAAAACTATTTCAACTTCATTAAATACCTTTGTATAACTAATGCACACGGCTGAAAATGGCAATGGGAATAAATGCCACGATGTCCGAGCGGCAAAAGTATTCGCATAATTAATTGCACGGCATAGTTGGTTATAGATTTTATTTTGGTTTTTGCATTTAACGCATAGGTAAATAATAAAAAGAAAAAAACGCACACACACTGCATACAAATTCATTAAATTTGCATATAACTTTTAAGCATATTTGAAACATTTTGTGCATATGATTCATTGGTTTGATAGCCGAATATTTTTAATAGCAAATTAAATTGCCGTTGGGTTTTTAACTAATTTGCACCACCCGACAATATCAGTGAGCAAATATAAACAGCCGCAGCATCAGCTGGTGGGTTTTCTATTTCATTTTCATGGCAGTATTTTGCATAATAACTAGGCAAAAAATACATTAAAATAGTACAGAGTGAGCTCGACTATTGAATATCTGGCAGAAGTTATAAAAGTTACCAAATGATACTGTCCGGAAAATGTAACATTTATTTCCATTAATTTAGCATACCCCGTACAGCACACATAAATCGCGGTAAAAAACACTTTTCTAACTGGCAAATATTTGCCAAATCAATTCAATTTTGCGCATAAAATTATTTGCCTTTTATAAATATTTTAATTAACTGCCAAATGTAATAATTGCCGAATGAAAGTTTGGCCCTGACAGCTGCTGCCGGCACCCAGTAACTTTAGTATTTTTATTTTAATTAAATCCGCGTCGTCGGTGTCGGCGAGTGGTTAACCCACAAAAAGATAAGCCCCAAGCTGCCGCTGACATTAATCATTTTACCTTTCAAATGCATTCTCATTAGGCGGCCGCCAAATTGAAACTTTGCCCGATGCAAAGGGAATCGGAATTCTCAGGAGCTTTTCCCCGGGGTCTGCGGCTCATTAATAACCGACAAGATGGCATAATTCTTTGTCTACCTACATATATATCCCTTTATTCTTGGCTCTGCCTTTCTTACCTTCGTCGCTTCGGGGGTTTCCATGGAAAATAAAGATGACAGACCCATCGTATTTAGATGGGATGTGCAGGATGTGCTAAGCCGAGATAAATATTGACCAACTAACGACTGACTTAGGCGCATCTGAACTTTTCCAATTAAATCTGGCCAAAGTTCGTTCACTCCATGCGGTGCTGCGACTAGGAAACAAGCAAAGTTCTAATGAGTTTATTAATCAGCGATAAATTTGGCCAGCATATGCAAGCTAAGAAAACTGGGAGTTGTCATAATTTCTAATCAGAGAGAAGTCCCCTCTATATTTTCTTTCTGTAGCTGACTAAATAAACATCTAAACCAAGGCCAAGGACGAATCTGGATGTCTGAAAGCCATGTAGCAAAAGAAAAGGGCTGGCTGCCAAGGCTAATTAATGTGCAAAGTGTCAATTAATCAATCAGCCCGCCGATCAATCCTCAATCCCAGGCCCAATCCCTTTTCGGCCATGAGTGTATTGACTGGATAAACTCAACAAGCTGTCAGCGAGCTGGCCAAGGCAAATAAAGTAAAATAGCTGGCGACAAAGGCTCAACGGGCGACGACATCGCAAACATAAGCCCAGCGGATGTGGTCAGGGGATGGTTGGAAAGACGGGAAAAAATAAAGAAAATTCCATCAAACGGCAGCGGAAAACGTAGGCCAGCAGGCCCATTTAATCAGCCGTTTCCAGGCAACCCATTTTCCCTTCCCCAAAATGGGGAGGCCAAAAGGCAAATGCCAGCTAATTATTATGACAAATATCAAACATCCGGTCGGTTGAGGGCGCGACTAATTCTGTGTCAAAGGCTTAAATGCTTAACGAAATGAATTGAATACATTTCAATTATTAGCAGTTCAAATATGTCCAAAATAGCTTGAAAAGTGTATAAATATTAAGGGTATTTATAGAATAATTTATCTATATTTTCTTACTACCAGAATTTATGTTACACTTTCCAAAAATATATATTTCAAGCCTCAGTTTCTTCAGCTGGTGCAGTTCCTTGAGCAGAAGTGCTAACCTTACGTTCAGTCCTCTCTATCTTCGTATTCACCATGAAAATCTTGGCCAAGCAGGTGCAGCCCAGCAGCATAAAGTTGACGGCATGGGTCAGCAGGATCTGATCCAGATCCTTGCGAATCAGTCGCCAGGATCCCTGGTTTTGTACAAAGTAATACTTATACAGACCCATGACGTCGCTGATGAGAAACACGCAGATTAAAATCGCTCTGGTGTTCTTCCGCACAAATGGAACTATAGCATAGAGAGCGCAAATGAAGATCAGGGATGGTAGAAGAATCTTCAGGATGAGCAGACTGCCGGCTATGAACAGGGAAAAGTGGGGATAAAACAATCGAGCAGTCGTGGACTTGAACAAAAAAGTGGATAGCCAATGTCCTGCCAGATAGAAGGCCACATAGAAGTAGAGGAGGATCATGAAGGCATATCTATAGAATCCTTTTAATGTCTTCAGTGGCTTATGCTCCTCTTCCACATCTTCAATTTCTTTGCTTCGCCTAGCATCCTCATAGATCTGAAGTCCCAAAATAAATTCGGTTATCACGATTTGAACATTCAATGATCCCCACGAGATGGTCAGCAGACTGATGATCGTGACCATGTTGATGGTGATCAAATCCAATCTTCTCCTGGCCTCCAAAGTGGTTTTGGCAAAGTACGGAATCGACAGGAAGGCGAAGAACAAAAAGGACCAACTGGCGACATGGACATAGATCGATATAGTTTCCTTGACCTCAAATTGATAGACTCCATAGGCTCCGGCAATCAGAGCCATCACATTTGCGGCCCAAACTCGGGAATCAAGTCGGTGTCTCAGAATCACAGGACGAACAATGGCCAACAGCATGCTTATATAGAGCACATGGAAATTTTTCAAGGGTATTATCTTGAGACCCTTATAAAAATTTTGCTGCACATAGAGCATTCCACTTAGTAGCAAAACAAGGGAAATCCAAATGAAAAACTTCACAGAGGGCCGAAGGAAAGCTCGTCGATTGTTTAGAAGCACGGAAATCGCATATACCAAAAATAGATGTTGATAAATGAATGTCGTTAGAATCAGTAGGGCAGCAGGGATCAAAATACAGGCCAAGTTCCAAATAGGAGCCATGATCCAGTAACCTTTCACGGGACGTTCGGCCTGAGCCATTATCAGCATACCAAAAGGTAGAATCAAATAAAATGCAGTGATATTCGGCACATTTTGCAGGGTCAGCAGAGTTAGTATCAAAAGGCACATCATGGTTAGTATGAGGGTGGAAAAGGTCATAAATCCCTTTCTGGGCTCCTTCTCCTCCTTGGATAATCGAGTTAACTGAAGGAGCAAACAGTAGAACCAAATCAAGTAGGATACCGTAGTGGCCACCATCAAAGGAAGTTGGTAGTACTGATGATAGTACGCCATGCACTTCTGTGCCAATGTTCCGAATTCCTGGCAAATCTCCATCGCCTCTTTCATATTTCCCTGTGCCATTAAAGCATTTAATTTAACTGAAAATCCTTCGATTTGTTGCAAGTTCAGCGCCTCGAACTTCGGCAGCCATTTGTAGAATATGGCGCTCTCATGCCGCCTAATTAGAATTTTGGCTTGCGATAAAAGTTGCAAAATGTTCAGATGCAAGGCCTTCACTTCGTACTCTTCGCTCACATTGAGATAACCCACTGGCATCAGGGCCATATTATTCATCGGTGGTGGGAGTCCTATCAAAGCCGACATTAGGGGCGCCAGCTGGGTCTGATCCACCTCGGAAATATTGGGTTTGGTGGGAAAGTTTCCATCAGGATCGACCTCTGGACGACTCACACCAGCTCCCCACATAAACAGGGGCGTCTCTATCTCAAGAATGGAGCCACCGCCATGGTTTCCTAAAAGATAAGGTAGTTTATTAATTAATTCACCTAAAATCCTAATGAAAGAGCGATATTTTCGATATTTTTACAATTTTGTGTCGATAATATCGATGTTTTCAAGGAAAAGAGATTCAACAAAAAATTATAAATTGGTTTTTAATAAAACATCAAAGAAGTATCGAGGTTTCCGATTAGCATCTTTGTTTGAAAAATATCGGAAATATCGATAATTTTGATGTTTTTTATAGATATATTCAAAATCTTTCTAGGTACCTACCATCATTACTCATTCCATGATCGGAAGTCATCAGATAGGCCGTTCGACTGTCATTAAAGACCCGTTCAAAGAGTTCATAGGTCGTCCGTATACCCTTCTGCGTGTGCTGAAGCTTTTTATAGAACTTCTTAGAATGCGGCTTGAACCGATGAGCAGCTATATCACTGTCAGCCAAGTAGACCAAGAACACAGCCGGCTTTATACTGCGCCATTCCCGAACATTTTCGCCGTTCTTGAAGAACTTCTGAACCTTCTCAAAAGTCCACTTGTCGCAGGTGAGTTTTTCCGGCAGCTCCGCTTCCATGAAGGACTCAAATCTCATCGGAGCACCGCCAGTTGGAAGATCTTTGAAGTAACCGACAATATTCCGGTGGGCCCAGCCAATGGTGTTTCTACTGCGATTGAAAACGGTGTCGAACTTGCTGGGATTGTATCGAAAGTTGACCAGAGCAGCTGCCGGATCCTCATTGAAGCCCCCGAATATGGCAATGTGACCAGGTCGCGTCATCGTGGGCGCACAACTGCGGGAAATTCCAATGCGACCTTGCTGCCGGAAAATGTCCTTCAAATCTGGAACATCGCTGCCATTGTTGGCCAGAAAGGTGGCCGCTCGCAGGCCGTCGGTAAGAAAGACCACCAGTCGATCTGCCGGCGGTTCAAAGCCCAACTCGCGCATTGTCTTTTGCGGCACGAGGTGGGGCAATAGAGTCGGCTGGAAATATGTGCTCAGTATAGAGCCCATCAACAAGATGTGCACTACAAGCGCCTGTAGCTTCCACATCTTTGAAAGAGAAAAATTAATTAAAAAGGGGTAAATTCAGTTAACTTTGTGTTTCAGGTTGATGTAATAATGAAAAGCTACTATATAGTTTTGTATCAAGGGAAAGCACTTCTTGATGAGGTATTAAACTAGTGACTCGCACCTTTAAGATACCAAAGGTCTAGTATCATAATTTGTGACTAAAAATAATTATAAATTTGACTAAATAAATATAAATAATAAAATAATAAAACAAAATGGATTGAGAGAAAAGTACTTTAGTTTAGATTGTAAGCTGTCCAAAACAGTCGATTTTCCAACAGGGCCTGATTTCACTAAATAACGATTGAAAAACCTAAAAATAATGTTGTTTCCAACTCCAGATTTATATTTCCATCCTAAAAATTCTAAATATAGTCCATATGTAGAGCAACATACCTCCTTGAGCTCGTTGTTAAGTTTCCAATTTATTGTCATTGTATTAATGGATATAAAAAAACAAATTTTTATACTGAAACCAAGTGTTGATTTTAGCCATTGGGGTTATAAAAGCATAAAGTAATACTTCAAAGACAGCCGAACTTTTCGTTATGTACAAATACATTTGCTCCTCGAATTGCTGACATTAAACGAACAGAGCAGAAATGTTGTCGTCGCCTCATCATCATCTGTTTGTCTTTTTCGCCCTACTATCTGCTATCCGGCGCTTTTCCCTGCTTTTCTCTGCTAGGACTCTTTTTATGGATGCCATAACTCTGCGGCCTTGTCAAGCAATTTCAATTTGCCGCTTGATTTGTGAGCTGGCGCCTGGGCGCTTTTGCTTTTGCCTCGGGGCGCCAAATGCTGCACGTTGCCAGCCTTGATTTACGCGCCTGCAATTTAAATGAGCTGCAAATTGCTGCAGTGCCACTGCCTCCGCGAAAATCTGGCCAATTTAAGTCTTTAAGGCCTTTGTCAATCTGCAAGGCCGCCAGAATTAATTGCCTCAAATAAATCGCGACCCCCTTTTGTCGCTTGACTAATTCGAGTAGACAATTCAGGTGCTCCGCGATGTTCTTTTGATGCTCATTTGGCTCAAAAAGCTAGTTAGACCGAAGGGCTTAAAGCCGAGGCAGCGCCATTTGTCAGGCCAAAAGGAGTTGTTGTCCTCTGACAGCTGTAAGCCGGCCAACAAATAGCTGGCCCAGATGACTGAATGAGGGAATAGCCAACATGGCTAACAGGTTCGTCTGGCAATTAAAGGCCTGTTTTGCGTCTGGCAATGGGCTCATTTAACAGCGTACAAGAGTTGGGCGTTTAATGGCCAACAGAGTCGCGTGTTTGAAGCGATTGAGAAATGCCATTGAGTAATTGGGCCGAGCATCATCGTTTTTGGCACAGAGAAACCAGAGGCCAATCCCAGTCTCTTTGGGTCATGTTCAAAAGCGCAGGCGCGCTCTTAGCCAACTATTCGGATTCGGTTCTGGCCATCGGTTTTGGGTCAGCAACATGTTGGCCATCGACTCGCTGTCGAAGTGGCAATAAAAGTGGGTTATTCTGGCCAGCGGAAAGAGTAGGTAAGTGGGTCGGGTCGAGGCAGGCAGACTGGCCGCAAATTAAACGAATTGTGGCACAGCATTTGGCAACATTTGTTGCCACAGCAGCCTCCTCATCACTGGCAAGCGAATGCGAATAAAATGCCAAATGTTTGCGGCATCAGGCTGTTGAACTCGACCGGCTTTCGTTGGGGGAATTTGCGACTGCGACTAAGGCCTGACCAAGTCAAGGGCTCTCCACATTGCATTTGTGCCTGGAGTGGCCAGTCAATGAATTAGGAATTAACCCAGATAAATATTGACATGCCAGCCAGCACAGGGATAAAAAGTTGGTGGTTTTTAAGGATCCACTAGATTTAATTTAACTTTTCACCAAATAGAATAGACGGGAAGATGTCCTTGTATTTCTTAAGGTATATTTGTTATTTGCACCTTAAAATTGTATGCTTTACAAATATTTTTAACGATAAAAAATAATAAAGTTATAATAAAAAAAAACAAAAATTAATATTTAACCAAATAATAAAATTATAGGTACACAAATATCTACGATTTGAAAATCATTTCTTAAAGTTCCGAAAAGTATGCAAGAATAAATGTTTTATTGTTATAGTCCAGAGGATTTCATCAGAAAGGCGACTATTTTTATTCCAAAAATATTTTTTTTAAATCTAAAAATATTTTTTCTCCTTGTGCAAAACTCAAACCAGTAAACACTTGACAGTGTCAGCGAAAAAGAAAGATAATTGCTCAGCCCAGTACTTCAAAAGCAATATCAAGCAAATCAATTACGTCAGCCGCTCGACGCGGAACTCGCGACCAAAAATGTGTGCGAGCGTGTGAAGAGCTAACCCCATTTAAATTCAGCTGCGCTTTGTGTTGACAAAACTTATCAACAATTCAATTTCAATAAAAACTCGTGAGTTTTGGCCCGCTTCGCATATTGTTCGATGCATTTTTTAACACGAAATATTAGGGTTTCTGTGCGAGCAGGTGCGTGTACGTAGGGGGATCGTTGGCTGCCGAAATATGCGATGTTCTGACAACTCCCCCTGAGTTACTACGCCCCTGGGTAGCTCTCTCTCTCTCTGTGAGCTGAATTTTGGCATTTGAATTGTCACATCTGGTTCATGGCTTCGAACTCATCCATCAAATGCAGCCCGGCTGCTTCATGGCTCCATATGAAACCCCCTTTTCCCTCTCATCCTGTCATCGCATGCCAATGCAATCATTTTTATTGTGTGTGCGCCTGTGTGCGTGTCTCGCTCTGCAGCTGTATTGGTGTATCCTGTGAAATAGCGCGCATAACCACAGCGACAAAACCAATACACGGCCAGAGGCAAACCTCCATTTTTTCTTACTCCCAAACATACATACATACACATGCATCTGCCTAACGAGCGCCTGACAATGCGATTTTCTACGCCAGTGTATCTCTGTGTGTATCTGTGTGTGAGTGGTGTAAATATGTGTGCGTGCTGGCAACCGGCTATTGAAAGGCAAACACAATGCGAATATAATTTACGAGTCGGACTAAAATGCACATTTTTTAATAGCCGGCCTTTGTCATGCAACCGCAATGCACTCGACGGCTGCCTCTTTCTTGTAATTCGCTTAGCAATCACACCAAATTAGTTATTTATTGCAAAATAAGGAACACGAAAAGAACGGAGATTTTCACTTTTTTAAAAACAGCCATTGAAAATCATTGTATACCTTTTGGTCAATTTGTCTCTATTAAATAATCACTTAAAGGAAATATATATATTTTCAGTTGCATTAAAAATGCCATAACAAAATTGAAATCACCTATTAAGGCGTCTAAAAGTATGCAGAGTAAAAGTATCAGTATTCTTTTCGATTGAATCATGTCCGAAAATATATTGTTGCATACTTTTGGACACCATTTTATGTTTTCTTTCTGTTACATTTATTTTGAGAAAAAAAATGATAAAATCATTATCCCCTTTAGCTTAACTTTAAAGCTCTATTTCAAAGACTCGTTTTAGTTTCAAAGCAAACTCAGCCCTTTGCCGAAACTGATTACGAACAACTTAGACCAAGTCAGTCACAAAAGCGAATTAAATAAATAAAGTTATTTAAATAGTTTTGACAATCACTTTTTCTTACACACAAATCCGTGCAGACCGACATTCAACCAATATCTTGTGAGTTTTTGCCTTTGCTCATGTGCATCGATTTGGCCATTATTCTAACAAGCTCTTAACAATCTAACGACGAGACAGGAAGCCTTTACATAACAATCAGGCAGGCCCAAAGACCCGTTAAAGTCCGGACTCCGGAGAAGCTTACTTGACACTCGGCCTCTATCTCAAGTAGGTCAACAATTCGATGATGATTTTTTGGGAACAAAGCCAGCCAGCCAGGAATGGCTTTAAAGTTTAAATCCGGCAAAAGCCATCCTGCCTGCAGTGCAAACTCAATTGGTGTGAGGTGGCTGGTCGGTTGGTTTTGTTGGTTGGTTGCTGGCTTTGGTTTTTCAATAAAGGCAGATTTATGCATTGTGTTATGCCGAATTAAATGCGCTTTTGTTGCTGAACACACAAACACTGAGAGGGCCATACAAATTGTTGAACAAAAATGTAGCAGCACTCAATTGGATTTAATTGCTGTGCTGTGCGTGCTGCTGCTGCAGCAATGCAACCAAAATAACACCAAATTATGCTAAAAATTCGGCCATAGTCCGTAGTCCTAGTGTGTCACTTCGGGAATTCATTCGCTTATATAAGCGAGTTAAAAATTAAATAAAATATTTTTTCAAGCGGTTGAGCTCTGTTCGATTTATGAACTCTCCGCGCACTTTAATTCATTATGCAGGAGTTTATGTTTGAATTGTATTAATTACCACAAGGAATGTAGTTTTTGTGTGAGCTTACTATTTAGTTATGCAATGCGATGCGCTCGTTGCAAATTTAATTGGTTATTTCGCATAAACAAGTTGCGAAAGTTTGCCGAAAAATGTCTCCCTTTTGGCCGTATCGCCCATTTCGCCCCCAATTTTGCTCAGGAGCTTGTCAAGCCTTTGAGCGGCAAAATTAAATAGCAAAGCAAAGTGCACTGCTTGCTTTTCACATTCCTTTTCCTTTTCGATATTTTTTTATTTTTAGTTTTTGTGTTTTTTGTACTCTATTTATTTATTTTCTTTTTTTTGGCAGCAAACAAGCCGTGGCTGGCAGAGCCATAAGGCACAGCTTCCTCTTTTGGCCTGTCAGTGGCATGTGCGGAGACACGCCCCCTCCGGCACCGCCGCCCCTGACCCACACCCCATCCCACACCCAACCCTTCTTTCGGCCGTATGGCATGTGCAAAAGTAAAAACGAAGTTGGGCAAAACTTTTTAATATGCTTGCGAAATTTTATCAAAACTACAAAATTGCAGCAAAGTGCCAAGTGCCTGGGAACTGGGAGCTTCGAGCTGCAGCACCGTCAACGAAAACCTAGGCGCTGCACTTGAATTAAATTTGGGATCAATTGGGAATGTATGAATGTGAAAAATTTTAAATAATTTT